CCTCCCCTCCCCCATCACTTTCAAATCTAAAACATAAGCAAAAAACAAAGTTTACGCTTCCTTGGTAGACACCTCTCTTTAATATCTAGCATCCTCAATTTTCTTTTTTATAAATTGAATAACATTTTGTTCCATCTCTCCTTTCCCTTCTAGATTAAATACTTTGATGCCTGCTTCACATCATTTATTTTCTTGCCCAGTCATGTTTTTTTATCTTTTAATATCTTTAAGTAAGTGAAGTATAATTTACATACAGCAAAGTGTACAGACTATATGAGTTATGGTTCAGGGACCAATGCAGATACACAGGACATATCTCAGTCTAAATACGGAATATTTTCATCATGCCAGAAGGACCCTCTGGGGCCCCTCCCAGCCTGCCTGCACCCACAGAAGCAGCCGGCTGCCTGATTTCCTTCACCAAGAGTAGTTTGCCTGTTCTGGAACTTCGTATAAATGGAGTTAATTGTCACATTGTCTTTGCACCTAGATTTTTTGCTCAACATAATGTTTTAGAGATTCATTCATATCATCATGCCTTTTAAGATTTCAATCGTTTTTATGGCTGATAGAATTTCATTGCATCAATGTGACAGAATTTACTTGTTCATTCTACTGTGGATGGGCATTAGGCTGTTTCTGATTTTGAGCTATAATGAATTGAAAATCAATTGATCATACAGGTATAAATCTATTTCTGAATTCTCTATTCTGTTCCATTGATCTGTGTGGCAGTTGAAAACGATTCTTGATAGGAGGACGGCAGCAGGTGTCGTCCGCCGCCAGGGCTGGTGCCAATTGGTTGCATCTCTCTCAGGTCACTTTCCAGCTGGCTTATGTTAGATTCTCTGGGCCTGAGCTGAGTAGCCACAGACACAGACAGCTGAGGAGCAGGGAGTGCCCAGCCGCCTTCCCAGAAACTCACCTTCTTCTCCCAGAACCTACAGTGAGAGGGCGGGGGGGCCACCGGAGTGTGGGGAATTCTGTTAACCAGCTTCTCTCTGTGTAACCCAAAATATCCAGAATTGAGTAAAATAAAAAGACAACCTCCATTTTTTTATCAAAAATTGGTAAGATGGCTGTGAAAAACACAAAGACTAGAACTGGCTGGATATTGAACTCCGCTCACCTTTGGGCCGATTGAACACAGAAGCCAAACTGGCAAGCCTGTATCAAGAAAACAGCTATCCAAAAAGGGCTGGACATCAGATCGTTTCTGTTGTAATTTTTCTAAAGAAAAAAATGCAATGTTTCCCCCTCTTTTCTAGTGACCTTCCAAAGAGGAGCGCTGTCGTTTCTTAGGAATGATGGTTTTTCTTTCGTGAAGCAGGAGTGATGGGAGATAGACCGACTCAGCAAGTAGCCGTCAGCAGCTCAGCTGGCTCCCCAGCTGGCGCACGAAATCTAAAACCCACGTGCTGGCCCTGACCTGTGTGGCTCCGTGGTTAGAGCATCAACCTGAATGCTGAAGGGTCTCAAGTTCTAGTCACAGTCAAGGGCATGTACCTGGTTTGCAGGTTCGATCCCCAGCCCTGGTCGAGGTGTGTGCAGGAGGCAACCAATCAATGTATCTCTCTCACCTCTCTCTCTCTCTCTCTCTCTCTCTCTTCTTTCCTCCCTCCCTTCCACTCTCCCTAAAAATCAGTGGAAAAAATACCCTCAGGTCAGAATTAACAAAAAAATAAAATATATAAAAACCCATGTGCTGGAGGAAAGAGAAGGAAGGTGGTAGGACGAGATAGGATCACCAGATAAAGTACGAGTCATCCAGTTAAATTTGAGTTATTTTTTTAATTGTGGTAAAATACACAAAATGTAAAATGTGCCATGTCAACTATTTTTAAGCATTAAGTGCATTCACATTGTATGTAACCACCACCACCACACATCCACAGGACATTCTCATCTTCTGAAACTGAAACTCGGTCCCCATTCCCTACCCCCTCACCCCTGAAACTCCCCCCCCCATTCTATTTTCTGCCTCTATGAGTTTGACTGCTATAGGGACCTTACATGAGTGAGATCATACAGTATTTGTCTTTTTACATCTATCTTTTCACACAGCATGGTGTCCTCGAGTTTCATTCATGTTGTAGCATATTGCAGAATCTCCTTCCTCTTTAAGGCTGAATAATATTCCATTGCGTTGTCTATACACCATGTCTTGATATCCATTCATTCATTGATGGACCCTTGGGTTGCTTTCACCTTTTGGTGATTGTGAAAAACGCTGCTATGAACATCAGGGTACAAGTGGCTATTGTAATCTCTGCTTCCAATTCTTCGGGGTATGTACTCAGAAGTGGGGTTGCTGGTTTCATGGTGGCTAAACCATTTTACGTTCCCACCCGCAGTGCACAGGGTTTCAGCTTCACATCCTCTCCAACACTTGTTATTTCTGTTTTGTTTTGTTTTTTTATCCTCACCCGAGGACATTTTTTTATTTTTTGTTCATATAGAGTAGGAGGAAGAGAGAGAAACATCGACGTGAGAGAGACACATCGAGTGGCTGCCACCCACACAACCCAACCAGGGCCAGGGACAAACCACAACAGTGGCACATGCCCTTAGCGGGAACCAAACCCCGGTCTCTCTGTACCACAGGCTGATGTTCTAACCACTGAGCAAAACTGGCCAGGGCTGTTATTTCTTATCTTATTGATAAAAGCTGTCCTGCTGGGTATGAGGTGGCATCTCACTGCAGTTTTGATTTGCAATTCCCTAATGACTAATGATGTTGAGAATCTTTTCAGTGTTCATTGGCCATTTGTATATCTTCTTTGGAGAAATGTCTGTTCAAGTCCTTTACCCTAAATCTGAATTTCAGATAAACAATACATTTTTAATCATATGTCCCAGTATTAGAGATGTATATACTAAAAAGAGAATATTGCTTATCTCAAACTTGCTTTTAACTCAGTGTCTTGCATTTTTATTTGATAAATCTGGCAGCCCTAAAAAGCGAGAACCTTGATGGATCTAAAACAATCTTTAAACATCTCACAGTTTCGCCCAGGTGAGCCCTGAGGTGGCTTCGTGTATTTTTGTGGGCGTTGGGCTGGTAGCCATGCTTTATTAGAAAATTGTAATTTCATTTTGAGATGCTCCAGACTAAATCATTTGAGCTTCACACTCTTTGTGTAATATTATTGGGCTCCCTTAATGAAATTATAACTCAAGCAAGAGATTTCATTCCCTGGTAGTAAATTAGCTTGGACCGTGTGGGCTCGGGGAGAGCCAGTCCTCCTGGCTTATTCTTCTTGTTCAGGGAATGAAGAAGGAGCAGGCGTTTTGTATTTGAGTTATTTATTGTTCTCTTTGAGTGAACGTTATATTGTTACCCGTCCCTACTGGAAACAACAGCTGTTAACAGGCTCTGGAATGAATTTCAATGTGAACTCCCCTGGCCTCTGGGAAGCTTGGCTAAAGAGAAAACAGGCTCATAATGGAAAGAAAAAGAGCAGGATTCAGACCTGGGTCTGGACGCCTGCAGGCTAGCTGCATATAAAATCGCCCGTTACCTGCGTCCTGGGACATCACACGTAGACATGTACGGAAATGCAAGGGCTATGAGCAGTCCTTTCTGACGACAGAGGCAGACAAAAAGCAGCCTGATGCAAACAGTGACCTTGCTGAAAACCCTGCCTCAGGTATCAGAGGAGACAGAAAGTGTCCCGCTTCGCAAAGAAACCAAGCCGCTGGTAACCAGGGCCCTGGACAACCTAACTCCAGGAGGAGCAAGAATGACTCTGCCGCAACCCTGTAACAACCCTGTAACACACCCTGTAGCAACCCTGTAACATCAGATAAGCCACGGTGATGTTTCCAGCTATCATTTTTTAAATAATGTGGTCAAGATTCCTGTGGAGGATAATGAAGCTGGGGGCAAAGGACACAAGAGGCGGGCCTCTGAGAACAGCGGAGGACTCCCTTCGAGAGTCAGATCTGCTTATGGACAAGCGTTCCTCACTTCTGTGGTTGAATCCAGTCAGTGGAAGCTCTAACATCAGGAGCTTTTCGTTTGGCTCCCTTTATTAGCCATTTTTTTTATATCTCCTGATTGTACGTCTAACCTACAATCTCTTAATTTCTGTTTAAGAGAGAAATCGCCCAGACCATGGAAGGAACATCTTTCGCTGGTCAGAGTGGCATTTCCTCCTTGGGTCCATCACTTCCTCCTGTGCCCTCTGTACTGGGAGGGCCGGTGCCCAGGACGCCTGGCAGTCTTGCCTGATTCTCCCACCGCGGGCTGCAGGCAGAGGGCATCCCCTGTGATTGCTCTCACGGCTCCAGGGACTCGGTCCCATTTCCCAGAGGAATTTCGGGGCCAGAGCCCAGCACTGCTTCCTCCCCCACCTGCCGTCTCTTCTCTCCCAATGCACACTACGTATATTTTGCAGTTTTAAGTCCATTATTTTCATGCATTTCAAGCCCAAAGAGTAAGTTCTCCACTAATGGAGAAAAATAGTCTTGGCTTTATTTGCACGACGCCCATTTAACTGTGGGTGTGTGTGTGTGTGGGTGTGTGTGTAGATTATATACGTGTGTGTGTATAGATATAGATATAGATATAGATATAGATATATAGATATATAGATATATAGATATATAAAGAGATTTTTTTTTACTTGCTTTAGTTGCTGTCTGTGAAATGACCTCAGTCTGACAGGCCCCGCCCACCCAGCATCCTCCTGCAAGGCTGTTGCCCTGGAGACGATCACTTCAAGTTTTGAGGGACGTGGAACAAAAGGAGGGGAGATGCCAAAAATAAGAGAAGAAAAAAGATAGAAATCATAAAGTTTAAAATTGAATGGAGAGGGGAATTTGATAAAATGCTGTCAGAAATTCAATAAAAGACTGAACCGGAATGAAGTGGCTGAAACCAAAACGACCTTTCAACCTCCCTTGTCCAAACCCTCAGTAATAAGAACATATGAAAGCCCTGAGTTTTTCTGAAACTCGATGTCGAAAGTGCATTTCCGTTCTTCTTTTCTTTCCAGACAAAGTAAGCATGTTGTCAGCCTTCATCGCTCCCTTCAAGCACTTGAGCCCCGGGGCCACAAACACAGAGGACGAAGACAATCTAAGTAAGCAGCCCCTTACCTGGAGAGTGGGGGAGGGGAGCTAGCCCACGGTCCCTAAGGTTGAGACCTTTGGGGTGATGATGCAGGGGGAGGGTCAGAGGGATACAATCTGGGCTTCCCAAAGCAGGAGGTTCTGCTCCCATCTCCACCTGGAATTTCATCCCTACCTGGAACCCCATCCATGCCTGGAATCTCATCCTCACCTGGATTTTCATACTCACCTAGAATCCCATCCTCAGGTAGAATCGCATCCCTGCCAGAAATTTCATTCCTACCTGAATCCCATCTTTATCTGGGTTCCTATCCTCACCTGAGCGGTAGAAAAATATTAGCAGTAACTATGTGATTGAGAACTCCAGGGATTGTTCTTTGTTGTTTTTTTAAAAAGTTCTCTTGTACCATCCCTCCTCTTTCCTGTGTTTTTCTCCTTTAAACAAAAAAAAGAAGAAGAAAGAACACAATCTTTTTCAACACGGTTTGTACAATTATTTAACAAGGAAAGAGCTGGACGGGTGCCTGCCTGTCGAAACATTTCTGGCACATGCATCTGGAGAGATACCAAGCAGTGTAGTGTGGGGACTAAAATGCTGGCTTGAGGGAGGGGACCTAAACAGTGTCCCTGTGCAGACCACTAAGGAGGCAGAGCAGACAGACTGGTGTGTGAGAGTCTGGGCGTGTCTGGCATGCATTACACTCGCCTCTTGTTTGTAGCATATTGTCAGGCAGTTAAACAAGAGGTTGAACATTCCAAACCATATGAACACCTCTTGCATTTCAACATCACCTAACAGATGGGTCACCTTCTGAGCCAGAAAGAGTTAGGAACGTGCTTGCTGTCCTGAGATGCAAAGGACTCAAAGGTTTGCTGGCAGCCACTAGGATCGTTGATCTGACCAAGAAGTAACAGCAGAGCCTGCACAGGAATAGTGTCCGTTGACCATCAGCTCTTAAGAAGCACAGTACATCTGCTTGAACAACCCCTTCCCAGAAAACGCAATTGTCAGCAAGACTGACATCTGAGGTCATTGACCTGGATTATTCCACTAGAGCAAAGTCACAGAATCACTGGATGTCAGAGTGGAGCGAACCATAGAGATGCTCGACTTTCAGTCCTTGTTTTCTAGATGAGGAAGGAAAGCCGTAGAGGATGAGGAGAGGGCCACGTGGAAATCAGAACGCGGGTCCCCGGACTATCCGTTCAGGACCTATTCTTCAGCGAACGCGTGCTTCAAAGTGAAACGTGGACGAGCGACTGTTTCTGTTTTCTCATTATCTAAACTGGAAAATTCCTAGACCTTCATCGATGTCTGGCTAGCTTGAGGAATAGTCTTACTGTTTCCTCGTCTTTGCCACCCGAACTGCGGAAACCCTGGCTGGGTTAGTCTCCCCACACAGAAGCTTCTCCCTCCCCTCCCAACAGCTCACCAGGCTAACGGCTCTGGTGCCAGGACAATTCAGAAAACAGAAGCCCGGTGGGGGCAGGACCGCTCAGGCCATCCCGTGTTCTGTAACCACGAGCCCAGCTGCCCTGGGCTGTGAACACCACTGCTCAGACCTCAGAGTCGTTTCTAAGACAGGGACGGGGACGGGGACGGAGCCTGAGCCATGGACTTGAGGTCAGAATCGATAAGACAGCACATACAGACACAAGGACCTGGAACATATAAATGCTCCATCGAGGTTGACTAGTACCAGTAAGGAAGGCTATTTTCCCTAATTCAGTTCACTGACTAATAGGTAAAAACTTGCAGATAAGAATGATGTTTTAACATGTTAAAATGCCTTTGAAATGCTTGGAAAATCTTATTTTCCATCAGTAGATTAGTCATCCCCTTTGTTTGTTTGTTTGTTTTGTTTTTTGGTACGTGCCCCTAGGGGGAACCAAACCCGGAACTCTGGTCCGCAGGCCAACGCTCCAACCACTGAGCCAAACCGGCCAGGGCGTAGTCATCCCCTTTGTAATAAGTGTTATTAATATCCTTAGAAAACCTATTTTCATACACTGTTCAAAGATACACCTCCAAGTGAATATGCTTGTCTTACTTAACATTTCTCACCACTGCTACTCATATAGTCTCTCAGTTTACCGTCCAAGTTCACTGGACGGGGTGTGTGTGTGTGTGTGTGTGTGTGTGTGTAAAGTATGCATGGTGTGCATGGGGTGTGTGTGATAGATGTGATCTATGTGGTGTGGGTGTTCATGTGGGTGTGATGTATGTGCAGTGTGTGTGGCATGCATGGTATATGTGATGCGGGTATTTGTGTATTCATGTTGTGTGTGATATATGTGTAAAAGGTGTATAGTGTGTGTGCCTGTGTGTCTGTGTGTGTGTTATGTGTGTGATGTCTATGTAATGTGTGTGTGCACATGTACTGTGTGTCATGTGTGTGTATGTAGAATGGATGTTTACTGTGTGTGCTTGTGTGTACGCAATGTATGTAGGGAGGAAAGGTAGGTGGAAGAGGCAAGTGTGTCCTTTGAAGTCTCCTGTTTGTATCTATAAACTATGGAACCGATGTGCCTGGATCGGTTTAAGGTGAAGCTCCACCATTGAGGACCATCTCGCTCCCACGCCCCCTGCAGACCTGGCCCCTCACTCACCTCAGCTCCTTCCCCGGAGCTGGGTTCCAATGTCCAGGGCTGAGCTGGGGTCAGGGGTTGACAGCCAGCCGGAGACTCAGCCTGGGCGAGGACAGTGCCTGAGCCCCCTGGAAGCCTGGCATCAGCAGGCTGGGTTCTGGCTGACGGTCAGCCAGACAACGCCGTGTTTGTGAGACGTCGTGCCTACGCTGGTGACCCTGAAAGCTTTGTCCTTCGAACACTGAGGAGAGTGGTCACTGGCCCAAGCCCATCACCTCTGTGCCCAACGCTGGCCCAAAGGTGTCGCAAGAGGCAGGACTGAGATGTCCGATCCTGGCCAGGGCCCTAGGCCGGCACAGTCCACACTCTTCGCATGGGGTCTGGAGGGAGGACAGCCACCCACCACCCCAACATGTGTGCAGGCTCTGCTTCCCGAAGGCATGCGACGAATCTGGAAAGAAGGCTATCTTCTCCCGCTGCGGAGCGTGGCCACGGAGCCACGGGACCAGCACACAGCCAGCCTCGAGTTCCATACTCCCAGGCACCAGGCCTGCCTGGCTGGCCACACGCCTCCCCTCTGCACATCTTCTCAGCCCTGAAGCACAAGGACTTCTTCCTGCATGCGCAGAGAGCAGGCTGCCCACCTCGCCCGTCAGCCAGCCTGTCTGGTTAGGGCAGGGTGGACTGGAAAGCTGCCCTCTGACCCAGACACAGCAGTGTCGCCATCAGGGATGCAGCGTGACGGAAAGCTCCCAACAACTCAACTATTGCAAGAACTCTGGCTGCATGATGACTGGGCCCATGCCGGCCCAGGGACGGGGACTCGGAGGGCTGCCTGCGCTCATGCCAGGGTAACAACCACAGTGACATGGCCGCTGGGACCTCACCCCACGGTGGGAGGAAGCAGCCACTACACACATGCAGCCCAGTAACTGAACTTAATTCTGAAAGATGTGTTTCACCTGGAAGATAAATGTTTAACCACAGCCATAACGAGATAAAGTCCCACTCTTTCTCCCCAAAATGCCCATTAGTCACTTACTTATCAAATAGGTTATCAGAAAGGGAGAGACCACATTCACCTAACATTTTTCACAGTATAGTATTATAATGGTTCTATTTAATTATCAGTTATTGTTGTTCATCTTTTACCATGTCTAATTTGTAAATTAAACTTTATCACAGGTATGGATGTATAGGAAAAAACATAGTATATATAGGGTTCGGTACCATCTGAGGTTTCAGACATCCATGGAGGGGTCTTAGAATGTATCCCCACCAATAAGGGGAAATGACAGTATTTTCAAAACATGCATTAAATTTTCCAATATGTCAGGGCTTTTGCTACGCGTATTACATGTGCGCCTTTAGTTCAATCTCATATAATCTTATAAGACAAGCATTCTTTAAACCTACATTTTCCATCTTAAGAAAATGAAGTTTGGGCAGGTTGAGGGACTTGTCTAAGGTCACAACTACATAAAGGATGGAGATGACTTCCACCTCTCATCCACTTGACCCCAGGGCCAGTGGAGTGTCCGCTGACCCTCTCTGCCTGGCTCAGGCTCAGCAGGCCAGTGAAAACAAGCCGGGGGGCTGTGCTGGAGGGAGCTGGACCCCTCATCTGCTCCTTTGCAAACACCAGTGGGCAACACTGTCCTAGAGATTCTAGCTAGTGTATCAAGACAGGGCCTAGAGGTTTGCATTTTTATTGGTTATTAGATGTTGATTTTTATTGGAAGGACTCCTCATGCCACAATCTGATCATCGTGTCTATGTCGGTGAAAACTAATAATGACCATCGTCATCGGATACTGAGTGTGGTGGAAGAGAAGAGCCTAGAAGCAATCTCAGTGCAGGGGCGGGGGGGGAAGTAGTTTGGGGACCGTGAGGGCTGTTGCTTCAAGATAAACCTTTCTACTTGAAAAGGAAACAGAGGTCATCTGATATGCTGGCCACTTTAATCACACACACAGGCTCCCTCGATCCTCACATTGTGAGAAATCAATAAGAAATTAGAGCACCCGCTAGTTCCCAGGCAGTCTGCTGTGGGGCCTTTCAGTGGGGTTGTTTATTTATTTATTTTTTTCCATCTTTATGTTCAATCTGGGAAACAGCGTGGTTAATCCGATCTACTGCCCTCGGCCTGAAATACCCCACACAGCGGAGCTCCTGGCTGTGTAGACCCAGATGCATAATGACTCAGGGGAGCTGAAAGTCCACCCTCAATATTGGGAGGTGGTTATTCCCACAAAAGAGTCTGTAAGGGATGCCATCCACCTCTAACCTACACAGTGCTCAGGTTCATTCCTTTGAACCAACTGACCTCTGCAGACCCAATGTTCTGTAGACACAAACTACCAGAGAAATATCGACAGAGCCACCGCACAACGTAGAGCATGCTCGTGCGCAGTGGAGGGCTCCGCAAACAGCACTTTCAAAGCGGATGCTCTCACCACCCAGGGAACACCGCCGGGGAGCTGGCCAGGATGGCGGCAGGAGGCGTCACCAAGAGCCCCTGATGGGAGGACCGCACCAGAACCCAGGGAGGAGCCTGTCCAGTGTGCGGGCGCCTCTCCGAGACCCCAATGGTCCTGGAGTCTTCTGTGCTGTGACATTCTTCCCCGGCAGCAGTACCACAAACATGAGGGTCTCACCGGAGCTGGGCTGGGGACAGGCTGAGAGGAAAGTCTCCTCTGTTTATAAGCTGCGGGCTGGCTGTAGACATCACCCCAAGTTTCCACTTGCTTCACAAGAGAAAACTCTTTCCCAACCTGCGGCACAGCCGCCCGGAGCCCCTGAGATCCTGGTTCCCATGGAGACATGGGGGGCCCCGGGGCCGTCTGTGGGTGGCCCGAGCGCTGCCCCCTCACATCCCCCCACAAGAATGGCAGACTCTGTGCTCTCAGCCCCTCCCTCCCTCCCGGGGACCAGACTGTGTGCTCTCAGCACCTCCCTCCCTCCCGGGGACCAGACTGTGTGCTCTCAGCACCTCCCTCCCTCCCGGGGACCAGACTGTGTGCTCTCAGCACCTCACTCCCTCCCGGGGGACCGGTGTCGCCGTGAACATCCAAGGAATGGGGGCGCTGTGCCCGTAAATTCACCTTCACAGCAACAGACATTCCCAGGGTGAAACTGTGTCTCGACCAGTCTCCAGCTGCAGCTCCACCTCTCTGAGCCTCAGCTCCCCCGTCCCCAGAGAAAAGCAAAGAGCAGGAAAGGTGCCTGAACGAAGGCGCAGACAGGCTCAGGGACGGAGCAGACAGCCCACGGCCGTCATCCTGGAGTGTTTCGTAGGAAACGGGGTTAGCATTCCAGAAGCATCTTTGCCAGGAGGCAACAGGGACTCTGGTCCTGCAGTTCTGTGATGATCCAGACTGAGGTTTCCCCCACGGAACCGCTCCACTGACAAGAAGTGGTCCCAGACGGCCTGTCCACCACTATAGTTAGCAAGGGAGGACTTTGCCAAATTTAATACATATCATTTTTTTGCAAAAGAAATAAAACATCACAGATACAAACAAAGCCCCCACCTGGGCCCCCATTTGGTGTCCTCCTTGTCTCCCAGAAAGGTTGGCGTCGAAGCTTCGCACGACGTCTGATGACACAAACAACACGCAGTGCCTGTGCTGTTGTAATTTGCACGGATGACACCACACTCTAGGTATTACCTTGTAAGTTGCTTTCATCGTGTAAAGGTATACAGCTGAGACTCCTCTGCGCTGAAGCACGCAAACCTGGTTCACTCACCGAGCGTGCTATCGATCGTTCCGTCCTGGGATCGCACCACAGTCCACTTACAGGCCACACCACAGTGGCCTCAGCATTGCCTGAAGCTGGTAGAAGGGACAGGTCACATGTGGTTTGGTTTGAGGGAGGCTTCAGGAGAGGGGGGCAGAGGGCCTGTGCCCAGCCGGCCTCAACCCCATGCCATGTTGGCCATGCCCAGAGCAGAGGTAGGAGCCACCGTGAGCAGGTCAGACTCCCCTCATCCATGCCCCACATTCTCAGACGTGCAGGAACCGCTCAGGACTGCGCGGCCTTCCTCCCCCCTCGGGCAGTCGGCCCCACTTCCTGGGAAGCCTAGTCACTCCTGCTGGCCTAGAAACAAAGGGCACCGCTTAGCACGTCCCCAGAAGGCTCCGCCCAGTGGGTGCCAGAGGCTGGGCTTTCGGGCCACGGCCGGGCTCCTGTGCACAGCAGAGTCCCCAGCAGTGGTGTCTGCAGGCAGGCCGAGAGCCCTGGGTCACCACTGTCTGTTCTCACCTCCAGGTACCAGCAGCGCCGACGTGAAGGAGAACCGAAACGTAAGCAACCTGGAGGCGCGGCCACTGCCGGCTGGTGACAGAGCCCGAGGCAGTGCCCCCGGCATGAAGAGGAAGAGGCCCCTGGAGGAGGGCAATGGCGGCCACTTCTGCAAACTGCAGCTGATCTGGAAGACGCTGTCGTGGTCGATGGCGCCCAAGAACGCGCTGGTGCAGCTGCACGAGCTGCGGCCGGGCCTGCAGTACCGAATAGTGTCCCAGACCGGCCCGGTGCATGCACCTGTCTTCGCGGTGGCCGTGGAAGTGAACGGGCTCACATTTGAGGGCACGGGGCCCACCAAGAAGAAGGCCAAGATGCGGGCAGCTGAGCTGGCCCTGCGCTCCTTCGTGCAGTTCCCCAACGCCTGCCAGGCCCACCTGGCCATGGGCAGCAGTGCCAGCCCCTGCACAGACTTCACCTCCGACCAGGCCGACTTTCCCGACACCCTGTTCAAGCAGTTCGAGCCGGTGGCGCCCAGTGTGGCCTTCCCAGGCCGCCGCCCTGCCGAGCCGGAGTTGTTGTCCCCGGCGTGCCGACGGGGGCAGCTGCTGCGCCACACGCTGGACCTGGTGGCCCCGGGCGAGAGGAACCCAGTGGTGGTGCTGAACCAGCTGCGCGCTGGCCTGCGCTACGTGTGCCTCTCGGAGCCGGCTGACAAGCAGCGGCCCCGGAGCTTCATTATGGCCGTGAGCGTGGACGGCAGGACGTTTGAAGGCTCGGGACGCAGCAAGAAGCTGGCCAAGGGCCAGGCGGCGCAGGCTGCCCTCCAGGCCCTCTTCGACATCCGGCTGCCCGGCCACACGCCCAGCAGGAGTAAAAGTCACCTCTTGCCCCAGGTGAGAATTCTCAGGTAGCTCCCGGCAGGTGGCATCTCCCGGATGCTAGGAGACCGTGAGCTGGGACAGGCAGCAGGCAGCCCCTGCTCCAGTCGCTGTAAGTAGAGAGCACCCACACGCACCCCTCCAGAAAAGCCAGCTCAGCCCTGTCCCAGCCTCACCAAGAGAGCGATTGTCAGGCTTTGGGAGAGAGAATCGTGTGCATGGGAAGAAAGAATGTCAACACCCAAACTTAGCAGAGGTGAGAGGGGAAGAGTGAAGGCAGGTGATGTCCCTGATGACACCGTGGCGGGAAACAGGACAGGATGACAGGGGAGGACAGCTGGCATTCCCGCTGTGCCGTTCCGTGGCTTGGTTGCTGAGCATTCTGCGCGGGAGGACTAGCAGGAGGTAAAAATGCACGTCAGGCAGCAGTTTGGGTGGAGTTTCTCGCTGGGGAGCTGGAGGGAGGGAAGTGAATATAAATCGGCTCGTCCCGGTGATCTGACCTGGAGGCCGGTGCCCGTGCAGCACCTGGACTCCAGGGCCTGGCCATACGGAGGGAGAGGGTCTGCGGGTCCAGCCCTCCCCTGGGAGCAGGGGGCTGAGAACAAGGACAGGGCTGGACCCCTGTGTCACCGTGGTTCCCCGGCCCTTTCACACCGTAACAGGTCCGCTCTCGCACGCTGGTTCCCCTGTGCTCACCCGAGAAAGACTTCCACAGCACCGTCCTCGTGCCAGGAGCTAGCCCTATCCCAAAACAGCCTCATCTTCCCAAGTCTCGTAACTGCTACTTTATGAAAATTACCTTGGGCTTTCGGGTTCTCAGAATGACCGGCAGGCAGCACTAATGAATTAGATGTAAGAAAGTATCTGTATGCAGTTTGGCGTCCCTCCTGGGGAGGAACGTCGTTCGAAAGCGCTTAAGCCAGTGCAGACCCGTGGTAAGTGCCCAGTCACTCTAAGTGGCTGCAGCCACGGCTGTCGTGATGCCATCACAGCACCTAGGACAGAGCCCGCTGCTGCCTTGGGAGGCCGTGCGTCCTCGGAAGGACGCAGGGTGCCGCCCAGACCTCAGGGAGCAGGCAGGACATAACACAGCGACCAAACCTAACACACAAGTACGTCTCGCGCCGAACCACGGCGCTCAGTTAATGTTTACCTGACGGAGGTCCGCCCCTCACAGCTCCACTGAGTGAGGGAGGGAGACCGTCGAGCAAGGACCCCGACTGAGGGATGGCTGTTTTCCCTGCTCTCTCTGCCCCCGGTGCCCTCACCCATTGTCACCTGTCTACTGAACGTTCTCAAGAGCCGGTTGAAGGGATTTAGACCATCATCTCCATCCATCTTGCCTTTCAACCCACCCTCAAATAACACACGACCCAGGCAGACTCGGGGTGTTGGCGAGAAGTGCAGGTCGAAGGTCCCGAGCACCTCCTGTCAGAAGTCTGCAGCCTTTTTCTCTTTCCTGCTTCTACGTTTTGTCTTCTCCCTTTTTCCTTCTGATCCTGTTTCTCCGTTATCTGTAGCTTACACTTGCCAACCATGTCCAAGGAAGCCACTGTGTCCCCTGCCAACTGGGTGAGCCCTGGGTGAGCCCAGGTGGCCCAGGGCCTCCGCATCGCCTCTGTCTTCTCGCCACCTTCCTCGAGAAGGTCCCCGCAGCAGGATGGGCGGTGGTGTGTCCCCTCGTCTTCCGCCTGTCGTTTCCCCGTGTGACCTCCCCACCAAGGGCCCTCACGGCCCCGCACTCCCTGTTCATCCCCTCCTGCAACCCTCTGAGTCCACAGGCCCCACAGCAGTGTTGAAGGATGCCGAGAGTCGCCGCCGAGACGCATGTCCCCTCGTGGTCACCCCTGCACTTGCACGGTGGGGGGACCCAGCAGCACCGCTGCCTCCTAACAGTCGTTTGACCCCAGGACGCAGCACCTCAGTTGAAGCCACAGTTGCTGAATTATTTTAGTCTGACAGTCCACTAACCACCCCGACTGGATGATGGAGGGCTCGGGACGGCGAGAGGGCGGAGGGCCATCCGTCACACCCCGGGCACTGCCGTCCTGAGGCCCGTTACATCCCCTCAGCCGTCCTCCAGACTGGGTGAGGCCGAGGGGGTCTGGGGGCCAGGCGCCTTCGGCAACTTCATTAAATTCGAATCCTGTCTTGGACATGGTCTGGATACAGGGAGTGATCTTTAAAAAACGAAAATTTCCAAGAGTCCCTGCCAGTGCTGCTCTGCTTCCCTGCTTGGCCCCAGGGTCTGTTTATGTAGCAGACGCCTGGTCCTGCTGGCACCGTGGTCCGGAGCTCCAAGTCCCCAGCAGCACGGCCCTTCGGCATCCTGTCCAACTGTGCTGTTAGCACCTGCCTAGGGACAGCACGCAGGGCACCCCTGTCCTGGCCAGGCTCCCACCACCCACACTCCCAGAAAGGCAGGTCCCCCAGCCACTGCCTCTGAGGACCCTCCCCAAGTCCACCCAGGGGGAAGGCAAGACCATCCATAAAGGAGAGACACAATTTCAGGAACTTGGGTACCAGTGGCAATATTTAGTGCTCTTTGCCCAAAGTCCTGGGTTCCACCCTACACAGGAGACAAGCCGAAAGTCTGTCCTAACACACCATGGGGGGCCCACTGTGCAGAAAAGCAAACAGTCCCTAATGCTGTAACCAAAGGCTCAGTCTTGTATGAATGAAGCCTCGAAACCATCCCTAGTGGTTACCTCTTTAAGTAATTAATGAAATTAAGTCATGTTACCTCTTTAAGTAATATTCAGTGAAAAAATTTCAAACATGACAGCACATAGAGTCATGCCAAGAGTGTGTTTTAAATGCCATGGTGGCCCTGCTGGTGTGGCTCAGTGGACTGAGCATCGTCCCATGGACTGAGAGGTCCTGGTTCAATTCCCGGTCAGGGCACATGCCCCGGTTACAGGCTCGACCCCCAGTAGGTGGCGTGCAGGAGGCAGCTAATCAATGTTTCTCACATCGATGTTTCAGTCTCTCTCTCCCTTCCTCTCTTTCTAAAAAAAATCAATACAAACATATTTTTTTTAAATAAATAAAATAAAATGCCACAGTGGGCCCAGCTGCACGAAAGGCAGTAGGTGCTGGAGGGAAGGTCAGGAACCTGCACTGCCAGGTCACCGGCCCCTTGGGACCCCACCAGGGCTCTCAGCCTCGACCTGGGAGCAGGACTAGGACAGGACCAGCAAAGCAGGTTGGATGCTTATCATCCCAACAATCTTGACTAAGCATTGCCCCAACGCCCCTCAGGTAGAGAGGTTGGTGCCGCGGCACTCCCCATTCAACCATCAACTTTCTGGAGAGAGGGACACATCCCCTCCCCCGAAGTAACACCAGCATTGCTGTCCAACAGTAAAGTTCAAGAAGCGTGGGCTCATTTCCACCCTGATTTTGAAAGAGAAAGTTATGAAGAATAATATCCTTAATAAAGATGAAGATCAGAGGGGTCGGTTTCTCCAGGACCTGATTCTCACCACCTTGTTTCTCAGAATGAGGCTAGTTCTGACCCTTCGATGTCACGGGATAGGACTTTAGGTTTCTTAGCCAGATTGCTGAGATGAAGACTTTGTTCAATTTTTTTAAAAGCACAATATAGACCTAAGTGAGCAGGGGTCACAACATTCGCCCAGGCACACAGGCTGGGTGCTTGGCAGACATCAGGCGATGAGACAGCCATCGCAGCAGGGGGTAGCTGGGGCCAATGCCTCGCATACTGTCTTCACCCGCAGTTGGTACATCTCTGGGCACAGAATTCCTCCTGCTTAACAAGATACTTGCAAGTCATAATAAGACCATGTCAGGTTATAAATACCCATTTGCTAGAAGCATCATCTTAAAAAAAAACAATAATAATAAAATCACACAATGTACATCTCTCTCCATCTTCATTTCCCACCCCTCAGCATGAAAAGACTTTAATTCATAAAAGTATTAAATTCAGGATTTCCACTCAAATGGCGGCGTAGGTAAATGCGGTGTTTCCTCCTCCCACAATTACATCAAAATTACAATTAAACTACAGAACAACCAGCATTCAGAACCACCTGACATCAAGCTGAATGGAAGTCCTACAACTATGGAATTAAAGCAGCAGCCACATGGAGATTGGTAGGAGGGCGGAGGCGTGGACAGGCTGGTCCCACACCCACGTGTGGCAGATAAATCAGGAGGATGCCTCGGCTGGTAAGGCCCTCCCTGAGGAATGAGGGGTCCCCGTCCCACACCAGGCTCCTAGCTCAGGGTTCCAGTGCCAGGAAGAGAATCCCCATAATTCTGGCTGGAAAAACCAGCGGGAACTGAGGCTGAAGGAGGGTGTGGCTTCTGGAGCCCCAGGCAGCTCCTCTTAAAGCGCCAGCGCACAGACTTAACTTGGACTTGCTCCCTCTGAGCTCAGAGAGGAGGTACTTTGAAAGGCACCAGAGACATACAGGGAAGAACTGAGCTGTTTGGCCTCGGGGACAAGGGCTGGAGAAGCAGCTTTCTCAGGGACAAATGTGCTGATGGAGGCCATTGTTCCTTTGGTGAACCCTTCCCTGGGGTGCCAGACAGCTGCCATATCTGGGACTCCAGTACCTGGCTCACACTATTTGCCCCGCCCTGGTGATTCCCTGAGGCCCTGCCCCACCCAGCTTTCGGGCCCACCCACACTGTTTCCAGAGGCTTCACCACAGGATTGGCCTGTGTTGGATGCTGCTTCAGAATTTCCTAAAATCTCTCAAGCAAGCAACATCTGGTCTCAGCAAGCCCCATACCTCTCATTAAGTGGCCCTAGGCCTGGCACTAGAAGCAGCCAGCCTTGGTTCATTACTTGGTTTTTCCTGGGCACTTCCAAGCCCACCACAAGAAGTAACCATCTGCAAATCACTTTGTAGCTTATGCCAGGTGGCCCCAGGTAGAACATAGGCAGAGGCTGACCTTGCCTTAGAGCCAGCACACCCAGTGGACAGCTTCAGACCACATCAAAGCACCACCACCCAACCACCTCAAGTGACACACTCAAT